ATAATTAATGTGATGAAATCGATCGTGAGAGATAAACGAAATAGCGGCGTGCAACGTATTGAAGAGGGAATTTGCGTGCAATAATTAATTATCACAATTTGAGATTCGGCTCTTTTACATATATAACGGTAATTTTACCGTTTAAGTAACTATTCGCATTAGTTTCTGTTTCAGACTAGTTAAAAGAAAATGGTTTTATTCAAAACGAAATCTGTGTAAATTTCAAACTTTTTCAAATCCCGTGATAAAAGATTCGTGTTTACATTCCATATTTCTCTTTGCCAGGGTAGAAATAAAATTATTCTTACGAATTTTGTATGCATGGATGGATAATTTTAGTGCAATTATATGTGAAATTGTTGTATTTTTCTGTATAATGTAACATGAAAGTGTAGAGAAGCGAAGCTTGCCGAGAAAGTAAGAATACAAAGGCAAGTTTATTTAACATTTGTCCCCAAATTTGGCGAGGAATTGCCAAAAGTCGCCAAGCTTGGCGATCATTTGGTGACATTTTAGTCCAGTCCCTCTATAACTGTAATGAATATTGTAGCCGAATAACCGTAATTGATGCTCTATGTAGCTATAACCCTAATTCGGCCCTCATATGCCTTCCAGTAATTTCGAGATACAGAAAGTACCGCATTGCCGTTGGGTTTAACGTTATTAGTAGTTTGAAGTGTAACTACTGATTATATTCTGTGATACTGTGAAGAGTTGTATGACTATTATAGTGGAAATTTCCAGAATTCTGAAGTGTTTCTTTTGGTAAAATAAATTTTATCAATCTATCTATCATCGGGCCTGTGTGCATTCAATATATTACGAATCCATGCGCACGGAATATTATTATTGCTAAACATATGGAAAGAAATCTCTTCGAAGTGTTTATTGTTTTCGTTTCGCAGATTTTATGTCCTGAAGAAATAGAAGGTAGTATTTCTCTCTGAAGGAAGCGATTCGTGGAATAATGTATAACTGTATCTTGAATAATTAATTGTCTTTTCTTTATTAAATCATTGCCACAGTTTCCATGTGATATTAATTACGATGAAGTAATACCATATATTTTTTTTAATATTTAGCATTTGGCTTTTGCTTTTTTTAACAGCTCATTTTAGATACAAAATACGATGTTCTGTATTTTTAATTTCTGGGGACTCAAACAAATAGACCTATCGCAACTGCTCAGCTTAAAATTGATTCAGGTTAAAATGAAATTTGTATATTAAATTCAGACTTAAGTTTGTTTTGAACTCTGCAACTCTTAAAATTTTCTTAAATATATTTTTCTTAAATTTTCTTAATATTTTTCTTAAATATATTCGTTTTGGAACAACTTTATTGATAAACTCTTCGATGTGCAAGACAGTTTTCGGATTCTTTAAATGTCCGAATGTGAGGAGGAAGAAAATCATATCCGTAAATTCAGTTTATAAAGAAAGATCTCAAGTTCTATTCATTTTTGCTGAAAGAGCTGCTTGAATCGTCTTGCGTAATGGAAAATGCGTAACGGAAATTTTGAAAGCAGTTCGTGAATGCAACTCAGCTCTTTGGCAAATAGCCGTTAACGAAATTTGGTAAACAATATAAAAATGAGAGAAATCTTGTGCATAGTTTAATATTTTTCCGTCCTAGCAAAGCATAAAAACAATCACAATGTCGAAGCCAATGGTTATGATGAAAACTCATCCATCTCCAACCAGATATTAGCGCTTTTATCGAGATCATCAATCATATGTCTTTCTCTGGCGATGGCAACTGAGCTGCTTATGTATCTTAATGCATTCTTATTTTATCCATCATATTTTTAGCAATCTCACGAAGCATCCTGGATTGAATTATATTGATTAAAAGAACAGACGCAATGAAAAAAGATCAAGGTTTGTTTAGCGTTGGTGTATGCTTGGCTGAGACTAATTACTTAGAACTGATTGCAGCAAATTTAATGAGTTCACTGTAGAACATCAAAGCTGTCCTGCTGTCATTAGCTTTTAACAATGAGCTGTGCATGAGGCTATTTCCATTACAGTTCAAGAATATGTGAAATATTCAGAAATACCGTGCTTTGGTATCAGGTTCGTAAACTTTGTCACCCACCCGCCCTTGTCTTGTATGATGTTGTTTATTCAAATTTTGCCTTAGCTAGTTCCATTTATTCATATTTTTAATCTCTACCTCAGAAACTATGAAAACTGACTGAAATATTTATGTTTATCGTGTGATAAAAATAATTTGCTTTACATTCTATCTTCATTCTGCCTTTTATCATTTATTGCAAAAAAAACGTCTGATGAGGTGATGCGCTTATTATAAACTAGAGAAGTAAGTTTATAATATCTTTCTCGTAACAATATTAAAATAATGTAAACTTTAATCATATTAAGTCAGATATTTATTTATTTATTTATTTTCTTCAGATGAGAATGTGAGATAAAATCTTGTCAGTGCGGTTGGAAGTAAATCGTTTTATTAGTAATTGGAAAAATTATGCTCTTTTCAAAAAGTTAGCGGAGAATTATGTCACGGCCTGCACATGCAGTACTTCAATCTGATACTTAAAGAACATAACCACGCTCCCTAAAAAGAAATCTATGAAATCACATCGGATAGTGTAGTTCATGATGTAGTACAAACGGGATTAAATAATCTTTCGATCACTCGTCGCGATCTCGCACTTAAGGAGAGGATATTTCAGCAAAGGAAGTCGGAGTTCTTTGGTTAGAAGTATATATCTTGTTATACCGCCATCACCTTATTTTTTAGATTTCTCATTCAATGACACTGCTCTTCTCTGTTATCAATCTGGTTTTACTGATTTTACTGTCCGATGTGCTTTCAGATAATTTACGGTCTCTAGAACAGCGAGACGGTCAGTTTTCAACGAATACCAAAAGAAATTTTTTGCGGTACGTCCAGGAACGTTGAAGCAAGAATATGTGTTTCAATAGATGTTACTTAAAGCTTGCTAAATGACAAATTTTTGCATTTGGAAAACAAATGCCTACCAGCATTTTTCACGAACCAACATGAGAACATGAGAGCAGATTTTTGATTTTTGTGAAATGGAGAATAATAATAATAATATCGGTATAATCTTAGAACTGTATTTATAAACTTTATAATGGAGGTGGTAGTATTTGTGTCACATATATTGATACGTGCTAGTTAATGAACTTGTTAAAAAAACGTATACTATTAGTAAATATTTTTATGTTTACCCACCCCCTTTCGCATAAGTTTCAAATATTAAAAAATTAGTTGATTTTTTGTCATATAATGAATGCCTACTGCAGATGACCACTGCTTTTTTTTTTCTGCATAATAGGCAGCGTTCAAGTAAAAAATTTTATATCACGTGGTCCTACTTGCCATTGTGCATTCTTGTAACAAGACTTTGCAAGGACTTTCGTTCTAATTTAGCTAACTGATCGGTCACCCTTGATATTCGAATCATTTGAGGTCCGCGAGATACGATAACATTCTATGCAATGACTGTATTTTTTGTATTTTGTATGGGCGCAGCCCTGGCCCCCCCCCAGCCGATTTAAATCGGCCACATGGCCAAAATGGGACAGGCCCGTCCAACACAAAAACGAGAAGCCACCGAGCCGGCCGTGCTCAAAATTTACACAAGGAAAACCACAATTCAAAATTTACCTGAAAAGACTTAATATTTAAACAACCGAGAAACCAAAGCCCGAGACCCGAGTAACAAAAAAGGTTAAAAAAGGAAACATAACAAACACAAAATTACGAGAGCAAATGGTTGCAAGCCTAAGTTAAAACAAAAATCCATCATTCACACAAAAATGAAACTGAGGAAAATAATAAAATCCACAAAGTTAGTAATAACATGAAACCAAGACAAAACAACACAGAACCATTCATACAAAACATAAAAAATGACTGTATATTAATCGGGAGTCTGTTAGTACTTTGTCTTCCACCGATTTGAGCCTAAAATCTGACTTTTCTCTGTCGTTGAGCTGCTTCTGCGGAAGCGTACATTTAGTTTGGGTGGCTTCTATGTAGGTATGAAACTCTGAACTGTGACTGCTGACTTAAGCCCTTTCAATTTCATTATTTAACCGCACGCTGTATTCATAGCATGGAAGAATGAATAAAAGGAAAATAAATGCAGAAAAAAAAAATGCAAATAAAAAAATAAATGTCGAAATAAATGCAGTTAAATATTCATATATCTGTATTAAAGTTTTGTTTATTGTATTCTATTCATCAGTACAGTAAAGTCCTTCAAACTCGACATAATGTGAACTGCGGGACTGTCGAGTTTTTCAGAACTCTTAATATTTAACCCTTTGGCGTCCAACACCTAAATCCATGGTAATTTTGTTTACACTTTTCCCTTTGTCCAGTCTCTTTAAGTCATGTAGTTTCATTTCCATTGTCAAGTTAGATTTTTTTTCCCCCTCCGAACGACATTTTCACTTCACAGAATATCAAAAGTTCCCAAAAATATGTAATGCTTATACGCCTGGATGAAGAACGATAACCCCAATGAACTAGTGTGAGTTTAGTTTGCAATAAGATGCAGTCACAAAACTTCAAACAAGTCCCCTAATGTATCGCAACAATAGAAAGGAATGTGAGCCAGCGGCCAGCCGCTGCCTGACTTTCTTCGTATCCTCGAATAAAGCAAACAGCGTTGCCAAGTGTTACAATATATCTTGAAATTTCTTGTGCAGTTCAAGAATTAATGGTACAATGCGAAAACGGCAAAAATTACAGAAAAAGAACACTCAAATCTTTGAACAGAAAAGACATATACATAAATAATAATTATATGTACTGTTTGTAGTATTTGCTCTGTTTGGCGGAGAGATACCTAAAAGAAGTTCCTAAAACGGTGTCGAGTTATACGGAATGTCGAGATATCGGGAGTCGAGTTTGCGGGATTCTACTGTACAAGTATTTAGATTGAACCCATGATTATCTTTCTTTACTATCTGTAGTATTTATAAAACATTCTCTCTTTCTAGGTGAAACGCCAAGATGATTATGGCGCGGCCTTGCGAGCGCCGCTTGCGGACTGTCTTGGTATTCGTAGCTGCCACTTACGCTCTCTCGACCCTAGTGTACCTGTTCTTGGATCGAGAACCCGCACCATTACTGTTGAGGCCGAATGCCACCTGGTGGAGGACGGATGCACTTCCATATAACATGTCACTTCTCGAAGGTGAGTGTATTTAAGTAAAATTATGGCCTCTGGAAGACTGAAAAATGTGTTGTGCTTTTTGAAAGGAAAACATTTTGATTTCTGTATTAATACGCCATTTTCAAAGTGGGGTAACATTGAAAATGCAAGTCTATGTATTTGTATTTCCTTTAAATCCCCCCTTTTAGCGCTTATTTTTTAAGGTGCAGCTGTTATTAATGCGAAAGTTACAAATTTTAAATAAAAAATGGTTCTCTCATTTAATAAATGCAACAGCTTCTTGTATTTTAACTTAGCGTCTTCTTTTAGCGGAATCAGAAAAATTTCCGGCAAGCTGTATGGGTATGAATTATACGAAATTTCTTTTTAATGTTCAGTTAATATATAAAAATTAAAAAAAAAAAAAAAATCCTTGCCTAATAGTTAAAATTAGTATAAGTAATACTTTTCAGTATCAGTATAAGTAAGATCAATTTTGAGCTTTGTTTATTAATTTCTTGCATTTTAATAAATAGTTTGCAATTACAAAACTGTTTTTTATTATTTATGTAAACTAGCTCCGAATGAGCTTAGAGACGTTTTCTCTGAGAAACACAGTTTAAATTTGCCAGAGAACTCCGGAACTTCTAGTATCTGCTAAAAGAACTTGCTCTATTTTGAAACAGTAAACCGTAAATGGAATTTCTATTCAAATTTCTTCATCGGACGGAAAAACGAAATTGATTATTTTTAAGTGGAGTTAATTCACACGAAAGATGTTTTCGAGAATGCCGCCTCCATTACTAAGTGGCCTAGTGTGCGTTTCGTATACTGTGATGTCTGAAGAAAATATCCTCGTTTTGTGCTTTATCCATGTTGAATTTTAATTTGGGTGATGATGAAAGTTTGACATAGTGTGGAACTTGGTTCCTTACCAACCAAGTTCCACACTATGTCAAACTTCGTTTGGTAAGGTTGTTTATGTAAGTTAAACATAAACATTAATTGGTCCTTTCCTTGAGGTTAAACCGATGGAAAGGATATGTTGACCTATGACATGTGAGGAAAAACATAACGTGAAGAAGATAGGAGTTGGATAACGGTGATTAACTTGACTGGTATGTTGACAGGTACTCGGCTGCAACAATTCCATACATCAGATCGTCGCATCACTGAAGAGGATCACTGCTACTGTCCACGTCAATAACCATGACGTCGGGAGGACATACAGTCTTCTCACACACACACATACTTTCTTGGCTTCTACCACAGGACTATATAATATTCAACTTTAGGCATGTTTAGCTCTGCGTAGCCGCAAGGCAGAATGCAAATTTCCCAACAATCCGCTAAAAGTTCTGGGTGTTTTGACGTTAAAAATGTCCGTATCATCGTCAAGACAGTACTTCTTTGTTATAGTATGCCCAGCCATATTTGACGATTTTAGATTTGCGCAGAGATCTCAGCTATAATTTCGCCATGCTCGTGAAGCGCGAATGTAAAAATAAACAACACAGTGTATAATAATAACAATAATATTCATGTCATTTCCTAAGAAGATTTTTAAGAATCCCTATCCTTATTATTATTATTATTATTATTTTATCGCATGTAATTTTTCCAGTCAACTTGCATATGTATTAAGCTGTTCTTTACACCATTTCATGGACGTCATCTCCTCTGCCCAAGAATACGTAAATCAAATAGCAATGACGAACGATATTATGAAATCGCTGAACCAATTTTCCAACATAGAGGCCCTTCTTTTTGCAGTTTTTAATACTGTTACCTCCAAATGGTTTCGTCGTTAACCAAACAGTTTTCGTGTATACTCGTTTCTCAGATAAAAGACCTGTTTCTTCAAAAAATGGTACGGCATGTACCTCATTACTTGTAAATTAATGATTGTTAACACCATATTCACCCCCCCCAAAAAAAAAGAATGAATATATTTTAAATAAACAATACGAATTCAAAAACCTTATCAAAAGTGAATAATATAAGAATTCACTTTTGATAAGGTTTTTTGAATACGGGGCGAGAGTAAAAATGCAACATGGTGCTAATATACAATTACGTGGCGAAGTATAAGAACACGCAGACAGATTTTGGCGAGATATCTCATTGGTTGGCAATTCAATTTCGAAGGCCGCTATAACAAACAAGTACCCTTATGACTTTATAAATATTGCCATTGCTCGAGATATATAATTTTTATCTCCTACATGACCTCGCAAATATTTTGCAGATGAGTGTTACCTTTCGAAAAGATCTTTAACTTATCTATCATATTTTAGTTGTATTGCTTTCGAAACTGGATGATTTAGAAGTGGCAAACGCATTTCTTAAGAATTTGAATATTTATTTTTTTATTTTAAAACACATTTAATTTATATGATATTCAACTGCTAATTTTGATGCATTAGAAGCGCCACTAACAAAATTGTTTAAGAAAATATATTTCTGTCACCATGTACTTCGTTTTTCTGTGTAGAAACATCTTACTCTCCCCCCCCCCAATTCGACATTTCTAGGCTTCTGTTGCGATGATTTTAATCATTACGTCTTATAATCATTGTTTGCATTACAATGATTGCAATCATTAGGAATTTGTAGTTCGCCGCTTCTAAGCTTCTAATACAGTAGTTGTAATCTTGAAATTAAATGTACCTGTTATTTATTTAACGAAAATATTCTCCATATGTAGAAGTATGTAATATATTAGTATATTTAGCCCTTAGTGTCATTAATAATCTGTGCCGTGGCATAAAAATAATAATATTCAGGTATTTAGTAGTCTAGAATACATTGTTATTACGTAATAGTATTATTATGAAGTCTTTTTTTCGCTTGCTGAGAGAAGTATTTTCCGTCCGATTCTCTTGATAATATTACGAGTTATTGAAAACATACCTCTCAGTTATAAAGATTCAAGAATGTTGTAGGGTTTATATTTATTTTAACTAACATTTATTTTAAGCTATCTTTCCTGTCAAGCCTTTATTTCCCCTAGAATTGCCAATGCCAGAGTATGTAAATTTTAGTAGAACGCGCAGTATATTCAAATTTTAGCAGAAGTAAATTGAGTTTAAATAGAAGGGAAACGAGATTGTAAGTGTGCTTTCTTGAATCGCGAGCGTGAAAGGTTGCTAGGTAGAAATTTAAGAACCGCGCGTTTCGGCCTGTGTGCCTATTTCGGCAGTTAGTTGAATCTTTCAACTTCTTAATCAGTAAGTTTGCTGAATCTCAGCTGTATCTTAGAACGCGGTTAAGTTAGTTACGATTATAGAGCCTCGTAGGTAGTGACCTCGTTATTTATTCATCCTGTCATTTATTTTTAGTTGTATTTTTCTATTTTGTTACACCGCCGGGTCGGCGTAGTTTGTGAGCGTCAAGTGAACGCAACTGTGATTTCTAAAGTGAAATAAAAAGGGATTTAAACCCTTCTTACGAGTTTGTGTAATTTACAGTTCATAGCAATCACTACTACTGTTGCTGACAAGTTGGGGGCCACGCAACATTATAATGTAACTAAAAATGACTGCAACAAAGAAATGAGGCTTATCCCGGAAGAATATGCTGTGCATGCGTGTGCGTTTACTATACATATATGTGTTTTAGTTCTGTAATTGTGAATGCTTTATGTTATTTTCCATACAAAGGATTTTTATTCTAAATTGTCCAAGTGCTTTTAAAACAAAGAAGTGTGCAAAATTAGTATAATCATGTTGTAAGGATTATTTTAATTTTCTAATAGTTATTTTTAATTGTGAAAGCTTTTCATTTAAATTCTTGTTTTCCGCTTACAATCCCCTACCAGAATAAGTTGTTTTTAGTATCGCGTTACATATAAATGAGGTAGAAAGGGTATATATAAAGGAAATTTCGCTCACTTCTGGGGAATATTACTTCAATAGCTTAGAAGATCAAAAACAGCCAAGACTATCAGAAATAAGACGATACTAGCCTTCCAAGCAACTGAACAAGCTGAAATTTGCAGAAGATTAATTTCCAGATTTCTTACGATGCCACACAGTCGAGCGAATTTAGTCAAGACTTACGTCTAATTAACCTATCAGAAATAAATTCAGTTTCTTACCTGTTGATGTTAACGGTAATGCCTAGATAACTATGGATATTTAGACTGACCACGTAGGAGCACCCCCCCCCAAATAGTTCAACCCCTAAGTGTAAAGCCACTTATGGGAAAAACCGAGGTGAAATTTTCAGACTTTATCTAACATCTTTATGATGGTACTAAACTTGACTTCATAAGACATGTCAATGGTGCATTTCCATATCAAAATGATACCAAAAAACTAAGGTTCCTGCAAAATTATTTCCAGATATGTGGCTGAGAAGAATTTCGAGCACTATTTTAATATTTTCCCCAAATCTGACCATCTACCAAGTTGTGCTGTTCCCTGAAGAATGCTCGATTGAGGAAATTACTGACGAAAAACTGCTTTGAAAATCTTTCCTCCAGTCTTAATTTTCAAAATTTAGTCGAGAATACGTTATTATTTTTAAATTAGCCTATAACGATTATCTTTAAATATATAAAAACAAAACAAATAACTTCTATTTTATGGATCGCAGCAATTATTTCGTAGAAATGTACGTAAAAATGTTATGTAATTTTTTCCCACTTCATTCTTCTTTCTCAATTCCCAATTTTGGCGAATTTTCGCGACCTATTATTGTACTCGATAAGCTATAACGTATCATGTAAACAAATGCACTAGAGTGGATATTATTTTTCCCAATAACCTGCAAAAACATGTTTTTCTCTCTTATTCGATTGCAGTGCTTTTGTATTACACTTCAAAAAGAGAGATGAGTGATTGAAAGATTACGTTTTCGTAACGTTTAACAGTTCGTAATGGAACTAAACATCGGTTTTCTGCTTAACAAATCTTTCTTTTACTTCACATAATGCACTGAGTTATCATATATAGCGTGAAAAAGGGGCTGTCGAAAAACAGATAATACTTCGTTTTACAGATATCCATTAACTGACCAGCAAATTTTAGCTAAAATTA